ATTCATCATGAAAAGTTCCATTTCTATCGTACTTGTAGAAAGTAGAGATGAGCCTTGGTTTCTGTCCCAGAGTTTGTTTATACCAGTAAAGCCTTGCTGCATTACCTTCATAGAAACATTGCAAAGTAACCTCATCACCAACATAAACTGATACAAAACCACTCGTTTGGCGCACAGATGAGGACACTTTCAGTTCATTTGCCTTAGCTGAAATAAAAAGAAACAAACCAAAAAAACAATTAATTTCTTGAACAGAAAGTATATTATAACCAACACATATAAAATGATTCGATGATGATGATGTTACGAGAAGGGACCATGCACTCCAAAAGATTCAAATTTGAACCACAAAATCACAACTCACCCATTTTCCCCAAGAACACACATGCGAGATAGAATGCAACCATAGCAGGTGTCATTGTGTTCAAACTGCCGTGTTGAATGAAAAAACCTCCTGATGCTCTCTCCACTCTTAAAAGACAAGACTGTATTTGATTGGCCAATCAGAGATGACACTATACTGTAAGCCCCATATACTGTAGGAAACATGATCACATGTTCACTTCCACCTACAGTGTCAGTTTCTTCCTTGAAAAGAATCAAATGGTGAGAGATATATGAAGAACATAAATGATTCTCATCTTGGCATTACATGACAATGGAAATCAGTGAAAGAAAAATTATCTTAATAGACAGTATAATCACCAGTTACAAGTCTGCTCATCATTAATGGACTTCATAAACAAAATAAATCCTTTTGTAATGATTTTAAGTAGTTTATCCTTACACTATGCACAATTATTAGGTAGGTATGCTGAGTGAATCCTTATTTCTATGCACATTTTCCAACTCCAAACACCTTATATGACGGTGTGCATGATTTCTAGGCATTTTCATTAGCTCAGGTAAAATAGACCAAAAAAGTGATTTAACTGACAAAGTCAAAAATTTAAAATGTATTTGAGACCGATGCATCACTCTTGAAATAGTTAAATTTTTGAAGCGTGACCAACAGACAATCAAACGTTTTGTTGCTAATAGTCAACTGTGGTGCAAAAAGCTCTCGGAGAAGAAAAGGCACAAATTAACTGCAAAAGACTTGAGTAGAATTAAACATGAAGCTACCAGGTACCCATTATCCTCCAGTGCCATCATATCCGGAAACCAATGTCAGGAAGGATGAAGCACGACCACCACTGGGCAAAGAAATACCTGAAGACAGATTGTTCAAAGCTTTTATGGAGAGATGAAATGAGAGTAACTCTTGATGGACCAGACGGATGGGCCCATCGTTGGATCACCGATGGACACAGGGCAACATTTCGACTCATGCGCCTGCAAGGTACAGGACAGGTACTGGTATGGGTTGCTATCATTAAGGATGAGATAGTTGGACCTTTTCAGGTTGAAGATGGACTAAACTCAACCTCATAACCTACTGACAGTTTCTGGAAGATACTTTCTTCAAGCAGTGGTGCAGGAAGAAGTCCTCAGCATTCAAGAAGATCTTTATGCAGGACAATGCTCCCATCACATGCCTCCAAGTTTTCCACTGCTTGTCTAGACAGCAAGGGCCTCAAAGAAGCCCGAATAATGACCTGGCCCCCTTCCTCTCTTGACTTGAATCCTATTGAGAACTTGTGGGTCGTTCTCAAACGTGAGATTTAAAGTCAGGGAAGAAAATACACCTATTTGAACAGTATTTGGGAGGCTCTGGTTACTATTTCAGCGAAGGTTAATGGTGAACTGATCAAGACACTGACAGACTCCATGGATTGAAGGGTCATGGCAGTTATTGAAAAGAAGGGCTGCTATATTGGTCACTAAATGTTATTAAATGTTCATTTTGTGTTGTTACACAAAATTAAGAATAATGAGTAATTTGATAGAAATTGTTTTTGTAATTTAGCTGCCTAACAATTCTGCACACTTGCATTTTCTCCTGAGCAAGACAAAGCTCACTTTTCCTTAGTTAACCATTCAGGTTTGAGGTTCAGTAATATTTTGAATTAACTGAGAGCATTGTGTTTGTTGAACAATAAAATGAATCCTGAGGTATACATTTGCCTAATTAATTGTACAGGCAGTGTCTGTAAGGATACAACTGACTCTCCTCCTGGGCTGAAATCATATTTGTTTCTCAAATCAGTTACGACAGGCTGTCTGCACTATTTGAAAGTGTTCAGTTCAGATTGGTGTCCAGACATCAACAACCTATCTGCATGGGTTGCTGTGGACCGCTCAGATTGTAGCAGCATGGAATCTGCTCAGCTGCTCTGATTCAATATACTTTTTCTCGTAGTAATTCAGAGCAAACTTAGCAATACGTTAGACTTTGATGGTTGGTGGATGGTTTCACATAAAGCAGAGCCAGGAAAAAGTTTAGGCTTAGAAAGTCTTCCTGTGTTTACTAAATGTGGCCCAGAAGAAAATTGCCATGGCCAAATTTTGTTCCCATTTAAACCCTGGGCAGAGTCATGTCGAAAGTATGAACTGGCAACTGAAAAAAGGATGTAATCACAGCTATTTTTAAGATGAAACAACTTCTCTTAGAAAGTTACTTGCCTTCAAAGTCCAGCTTGGTCCCGTTTCCAAACAGTAAATGTCATTACGTGCCAGTTATTCTTTTATTCATGTGTTGCATGTGTATTGGCCAGTCTCAGCTAATCATTAATTACATTCTGAATTTCTACAGTAAATAAAAAAAGGAGATATCACTGATGTTCACAGCGTACATTTATTTAACCGGGGTGACAACCATTTCAATTACTAGAGAAAATACAATAAAATTATTAAAAATTATTGTAAGTTCACTACAATCCTTCCTCCTTTAAAACAGTTTGCTCCATCTGTCAGTCTAAGAGTAAGTAGACTACAGAACAGAATGAGGTATAAATAAACAATTTTTATTGCAAAGGATAAATGAATATTAACTCACCTGAGTCTGTGCATACACTAGCTAATGATACAGCATCTCATTTAATGACACACGCAAGCATAGCACCTGTAAATTATAGGTAACTCCACTACTAACACTAACACTAATAATCTTATTAATCTTATGAGCTGCATCAGGCCCAAATATAAAATACTACATATATGAGAAATGTGCATTTACATTGCTCAGTATGTCCAGGTAATCTACATTTTAAGTTCAATATTATAAACCATATATTGTCATCGCCATCACCCCTTATATTGTCTGGACAGGTCTGCACAGAGGTTACTGCAGGAATGTGCAAGTTTAATTTTGAATGGTTATCTTATCCGAGTTGCACTTTATAAATACCGTTGCCTGTAGGCTTTTATCAAACATAATAATAGTTGTATTTTACTCTCTCTTTTCACAGGTCACAGAACAGCGCCGGCAGCAGCTGCTGGCAAGAAAAATAACTGCAGCTTCATCCTCTCATAGAAGTTGTAAACACTGACACCCTCTTTGAAGCGGGCCTTTGTGTAATATGCAGGGTCTGAGCCGCCCAGCTCTGCTACCGGCAGTTTGTGAGAAGTGTGTAAGAAAAAGTGACGGTGTGAGTAGAGATGTGCCAGTACTACTAGGTTGATTTTATTTATTAATATTTTTTATTTTTTTTATTAACTTTTATTACCTCACCTGAAGAAAATTGGTCTCCATGTCGGACTTAAAGAAATCATGAGTATGATGATGAATGGTGCAGCTGGTACTTGTCACTGTGCATAGTTTTTTGATGTGTACATGTACAGCGACCTGTCCATGGTGTACCCCGCCTTTCACCCAGTGTCAGCTGGGATTGGCTCCAGCCCCCTGTGACCCTGTACGCAGGATAAGTGGTTGATGATGGATGGATGGATGGATTGTATATATATACAGTATATCTTATATTATTTGTTATATGTTTATATGTGGTACTGCTCTTGTGTGAAACCTTTTATGCCGCTGTCTTGGCCAGGTCACCCAAGTAAAAGAGATCACTGATTTCAATGGGTCTTACCTGGTTAAATAAAAATTCATTAAAATTAAAATTGATAGTTTGATTATTTGATTAATAAATACCTGTAACACTAATGACATTCCTATCAGCCTCAGCTGTACTTTGTTTGGTAAACTAAGAAGGTAAACAGTACATGTCTCATGTTGATGTTAAACGTAGCTGTTGGACAAATCTTTCCAAACCAGCCTATTTTCGTGAGAGCACCCCAGCTTGTAAATTCAAAAAACATGCAGTTCTTCCCGGCCAGAGCTTCCCAAGATGAATCTGCAGCCAGTTGTCCAAAGGCAGGTACAATGTGCTTTAATTTCTCCTGGGTTGACAATGGACATGGGTGAGTTAAGTCACATGCTTTCTCCAGTACACACAGTCCCAAGAGCCAATCATGCGTGACAAAGCCCTACAGTAGCAGGGACTGCACAAAAGCGCACAAACATAGTCAAAGTACTCCATGAATAGATTTGATTTATTTAATCTTATTTCACCCAAAATGTTCATGGAAATCCACAATGCAAATAATTAAATTAAGAACCATTAAGAATAAAATGCAAATGCTACCACAAATATCACTGATAAATCACATCATAAAATAACATCACGGTCTTCATTGCCCAAGAGCAGCTTTTAGGCATTTTATCCTATAAGCATTTTTAAACAGACAAAATAAAGAGAGTAGAGGACCCTAAATGTGTAGGTCACTAAACTTTACCACAAGGAAGCTATAAACAGATGTTTGCCGTACCAAAGCACAGAGAGATCTCATCTTTTGACTGCAGACCACAAGAATGATAGAAAAAGATTTTTATTTCAAGATCTACATGTAAATGTACAAAACATGTTCAAAATGATTCGATGAACTTGCCATCTTACTCACTAAGTATAAATGTAACATGTCCAGTTTTACTGCTTCACACTGGAGTACACACATTCACTCTTGGTGTCGTTCCTCTGTCTTCTTGATCTGGTGGGCAGGTTAACATTTAGAGCAGCATAATGGAGGCTGTCTTCATTTTGGTAGCCTGGTAACGCAATATTTAAAAAGTTGTTAACAACATGTTTATGGACAGAAATATTTCAAAATGTCAACAAAATAATTAAAATAAAACGATGTTTGAATGTTATTCTAAACACAATGAATTCACCTCTGCATCTACTGTGGAGGGAGCATGAATCTTTGCTTGAGAGTCTGGATGTGAAACACAAAAAAGGCTATTATTATCTGCTATGATTTGAAAGCCAAAGTCAATAAACTGTCAGATTTAAAAAGTTTTAAACACCTGTACCCGAGTAGCTGTTTCTCTTGTTCATCATGCAAACTAAGAAAGCCAGCAAAACAACCAGGATGGTGGTCAATCCCAAAGCTCCACTCAAGAAATACACCAAGACAAGAGAGTCCGGCGCATCTGTAAAGAGTCAATCAGATGACATTGGAGATTTTCTCACATGATAACTATTTTTAAGATGTAACGACTTTTGTTGGAAAGTTACTTACCTTCAATGTCAAGCTTGGTCCCGTTTCCAAACAGTATGTGTCCACATGAGGCAACAGCACAGTAGTAGGTCCCAGCATGAGAAAGATTCAGACTTTCCATTGGCAAATTGTAGACACAGGTTTGTGTTTGTGTGTTGGGTTTCCTCTCACACTGATCGTTCCTGCCTCCATGGGTGTAAATGAGTCCTGGATGAGATTCTTCAGAGTTTTTGAACCAGTAAACACTGTGTTCTCCATCACAGGTCCCAGTGTGTACTGTACAGTTCAGAGTCACAGAGCCTCCTGGCTGGATGGGCTCAGATGCTGACTGATGGACCGAAGCTGGGACGGTCAAACCTGAACCCTTTACATGAACAATCGTTCCCGCTGCAAATTCTATAGTCAGTAAGACCCGTCTTGCACAGAAGTAAGCAGCTGAGTCTGAAGTGTGCAAATCTGTTATCTTCAAGTGATTTCTCCCAACTTCAGTGTCCAGTGTGAAGCGTGGGTTGGTCTCAAACTCCTCATGAAAAGTGCCATTTTTATTGAACACATACAGGGTAGAGATGAGCCTCGGTTTCTGTCCCAGACTTTGCTTGTACCAGTAAATCCTTGTAGCACCATCAGGTTCAAAGAAACATTGCAAAGTCAAGCTTTCACCCACATTAGCTGATACAAAACTACTCTCTTGACGTTGAGATGAGAATGAATTCGGATTAGTCCCCTGAGCTGAAGTGAAAGGAGAGACAAAACAAATGAACAATTCATCTTACATTAAAAAATATTTAAAACATTTGTACGAGGAGTGAAAATACTCTGTACAAGTTGGAATCACAAAAACACAACTCACCTCTTTCCCCTAAGAACAAACATGTCAGATAGAAAACAATGTTTGGATATGTCATTGTGCTCGAATTGCTGTCTTGAGTGGAAAGAACGTTCTCTCTTTTCTCCACTCTTCAGAGGCAACATTGTGTTTGATTGGCCAACCTGAAGTGACACTCTGTGTCCTATATAGGAAACATGGTTCACTGTCGCCTATATTTGGTGAAGAGAAGAGGCTGCTGTGAGGAGCTCAAACAAACAATAGAATCCTTTCATATAATCAAAATGTGGATTATGTAGAATAATCAGGACACTGTTCTTCGAAGTTCTTTTGAATGTTTTTGGATTAAATTACTTACTACAAACCAAAATGTGATTTATTTCCATTGCACCAGGGATTTGGCAGGAGGAAGTAAATGCAAATAGATACCACTAGGGTAAAGTTGGACAGACTTTTGACTTTAAAGTGACCACATTGTTTTCTTTTTCATTTTCTTTTTAACATGTTTCAGGTAATTGTCACTACTACACTCTAATTTTTCTGGTTAAAAGTTATTTTTTAAATGTGTCATTTTATTTTTATGTGATGTTTTGTCTTGGTGTCAGTAGTATTGAAGTTTAGTAGTATTCAAACCAGTATTCTATGATTACATAACATTTTTGGAAATGTGGTACTTCTCCCCTACATCCTGCTGAAAGCCACAAAGCCTGCCCCATTCAGAGATATTAAAGTGGTGAAATTATGGAAATTCTTAGGTACAGCACTTGTTTTAACCCTGTGTGTTGAGATGTACAGAGTGAAGCATCTCACTTCAATTTGATCTTCGTTTGGAGTTGTGCCTGCGCAGTACCTAGTGAAGGACTACCAGCTAATCAGGTCCTGAAAAGCACGGGCTGCAGTTGAAAAGTATTTTTTGCTTAGGAAGGTTCCTAACTGAGTAAAGTCAAGTCTCAGGACTCTCGAGACTTGACGTATCCCTGACAGAGCATGTCGGATACTGCACGCTTGGAAAGGGAGGGGTGAGCGGTGCATTCATGCGTAGCTGGAATAATCAGAATCTTTTTTGTCTGTGTTGATTCCACATTCCGACTTAAGAGCACATGAACACACACTGAAGTCACACGACTTCACAACTCGGAAAATGGGACTATCCGAGCAGCACGTGAATGTACCGTGAACCGCTGGTTGCAATTCATAACCCTAACCACTAGATGCCACTAAAACCTACACACTGAACCTTTAAAAAGATTACATCCCTAATTTACTTTACTAACCTCAGCTCTCCCCGTGACCCTGTACGCAGGATAAGCGGTTGACGATGGATAGATGGATGGAACCTCAGCTCTTCCATTGTCAGCGCCGTCCTTTCTTTATCAACCAGTTTTCAGACTCCTCTGAAAAGTTTTCAAACTCCTCTGAGCTAATGTTGAGTGTTACCGTACATGCACAATGTGCGAGTGAGAATCATTAGTTGTGCATTGATATTAATGATCGTATGAAAATTTTAGTTTGTTGGTCATTCATTAAATAGCGGCAGTGCGCCAAATACAGATGGAAAACTGGTCTGAAACCAGTAACAGAGACCAGTGATCTCAATGTTAACTCTTCCTGTTCCATTTTGCTTTGGTAACTAAACAATGATGGCTCATAGCTGGGAGAGATATTATCCAAAGATGGAAAAAAATGTGACCAGCTAGAGTTGAAGTCGACAGAAACCTTGGCTGGCAGCAGGTTTGCCATTCATTGCAAGTTGGTGGTAGTTGGTGGCACAGTTAACCTCTTAACATTCTGACACCTGCGGACTGTTGGGCCCTGGTGGCAGCCTTTGGTATGTGCACAGAACTGCTATGTATACTCTTATGATACACCATTGGAAAGCTAAAATCCATGTGATTCGACTAATGCTAACCATTTCAAAATATAATCACAACAGCGGGTACAGTCAGCGCCTCTGCCAGACCTAACCATCAAAACTGATACAACTCAAGCAATATTTCATTATAACAGTAACCGTTTTGGAACAATTGCCATATCTTGATTTTAAAATGGCTGAACTCTGACCTTTCGATTGACACCTAATTTGACCCAATAGGAGCTCACATGTCCTGTCCACAGTCTACAATGGCCAACGAGAGCCTGGGCTGTGAGGAAGCGCCAGCCCCTGTTATTTTGTGGGTAAGCCAGGCCAATTGCAACCAATTGTGACGATGACCGGCACTTTGTGTAGCCAATAAAATTCTGAAAATAATGATATCTAACTTCAACTAAGAAGTCCATGATCTACCAATAAAAAACATGTCTGTGTAAAGCTACTGGATAATATGGAGTGATGCAGCAGCAGCCCCCTTTTTTTTAAAGACAAAAACCCTGCTTAGACATCTCCTTAGAAAAACCTGTGTAAAATGTTCATTTTCTGTGGTATTTCTATAATACTTTAACTTGGACTTGGTAAGGCTTCATGCTGGTGTGTCTTTCAGCTAAAAAGTCCCAGCTACTTTTAGTGTGTTCAAACTTATATTTCCAGGTTCTGACTGTTGGGTTAGACACAGATGTTATCTTTATCTATATCTATAGCTCTGTGTTGACCATGCACAGCCTTTGTTATCCTTACACAACCAACGGCAATCATTTAACCACCTTGAGTAGTCCAATTGTCTGAATGCAAGTAAACATGGGAATAATTTCTCTTCTGTGCAGTGAGACAAAAACCAAGTAAGATATTTTTGTGTTGTATTTCTCCCTTTTTAGCTGTTCTTTATTTTGACCACCCATGTTTTTCCCACCACAACTGAAAATGACAATTTTTCCACTTTGTTGAGTCGTCACCTTTTTGACCATTGGAGCAGCCCTTTTCTACAGTTTTTTGGGAATATGATTAGTAAAAGTTTGGGAAAACAGTAGAAATGGGACAGAAACATTTGAATTCTAGTTTATTTTAACTTTAGTTGATCTCATCTGTTGAAGTGTTACATAGATTGTTTCAGTTTAACCTGTAACGTAATGGTTACTTAGTGTTAGGTTTCAGTTTAAAGGATTCAAGAGCAGACCAGGAAGCAGATGAACGTAAACAGGTTTATCCTGGGCGAAGCGGGAGTCTCTGGTTTATTTGGGGTTGTTGCAGCGAAGACAGGGCTCTCTCCAGGCTGGCAGGCTGGCAGGCTGCGTCTCCAAACTCTAACACTGTAGGCAGGCAAAGGGAGTGGGTTGATTGCTGATGAGCCTCAAGGGAGTGGAGCTGCAGGCGGTGAGCTGGAGAAGTAGCCAGGAAGACACGCCCACAACACACACAGACTGACAGAGACAGACAAAGACAGCCGGGAGGGGGAAACACAAGAAACAACAGGATGGGGGAGAAGGCAGAGCAACTCCTGACACTTTGTCTCTTGTCAGTCAGGCTAGCAGGTTGCAGGGTACTTTTAAAGAAGGGAAGCCTCTTGACAGTTATCTACTGCACAAATCTCTAAAAACCTGCTTCTTTGAATGAGAATCAGAATCCTGTACTTTCTTCCATGGACAGGCTAATTCTTGTCCACTGGAGATGAGGCTGGATTGGGCTTCTGTACAGAAGCTCCAGGAGACACTCTCTGAGCCAGAGCACCATTGGCTGGGGATGGATGAAGCCGGTCACATGCTTTCTTCAGTACGCATGGTGCTACTAGCAGGGGTTGAACACACATGCCCACACATTTTTCAAAGGTCAGTGTTCTATAAATAGATGACATTTATTTTATCATTAACAGTGCAAAATATACATGGAAATGCACAACAATACACATAATAAGTTCATAACCCATTAAGGAGAAAAGACAAATTGTGGTTCTCATAGCCCATAAAGAACTTGTTGTACAGCGAAAAATCTGTCCTGTGAGTATGCTGGTATAATTACTAAGCCAATATAATGTTAGAATTTTAGATTCATGTTAGAACACAAAGTAACAAAACAACATAAATGTGCCTGTTACTTAACCTTATGAAAGATCTTCACTACACCTCCAAAGAGATTCTAAGAAATCTTGCCAACTTACTCATACAACTCAAATGAAAAATATCCTGTTCTACAGCTTCACACTGGCGTACACACATTCTCTCTTGGTGTTCTCCTGTCTTCTTGATCTGTTGGGCAGGTCAACACTTAGAGCTGCATAATGGAGGTTGTCTGAGTCCTGGTAGCCCTGGTAACACAACAAATAAAAAGTAGATCACAATTTGGTTGTCTACAAGGTGATATAACAGCTAGTTGAATGGAAATTTAACAGTTAAATCAAAACTGAATTCACCTCTGCATTTGCTGTCAAAGGAGCTGGAAATCTTGCTTGAGACTCTGGTTGTGAAACATAGGAAAGGTTATTTAACTCAAAAGTCAAATTTAGTGAAGGCCCAGACTGCCAGATATAAAATGTACCATTTACCTGTAGATTGGAAGCTGTTTTTCTTGTTGGTCTTGTACAATGAGAAAGCCAGTAAAACAACCAGGATGGTGGCAAATGTCAAAGCTCCACTCAAGCAATACACCAACACATGAGAGTTCACCTCATCTGTAAAGAGTCAGACATTAGAAACAGAGCGTCCATTTTCCTTAAAGCGTTTTACAATCTGTTCAGCACACAGCACCTCTGTCTGTCTAAAGTTACTTACGCTCAATGTCCAACTTGGTCCCGTTTCCAAACAGTACATGTCCACATGAGGCAACAGCACAGTAGTAGGTCTCATCTTGAGAAAGATTCAGGCTCTTCAATGGCAAGTTGTAGACACAGGTTTGTGTTTGTGTGTTGGGTTTCCTCTCACACTGATCGTTCCTGCCTCCATGGGTGTAAATGAGTCCTGGATGAGATTCTTCAGAGTTTTTGAACCAGTAGGACACTGTGTTCTCCATCACAGGTCCCAGTGTGTACTGTACAGTTCAGAGTCACAGAGCCTCCTGACTGGATGGGCTCAGATGCTGACTGATGGACCAAAACTGGGACGGTCAAACCTGAACCCTTTACACTGACAATAACACTCTCCGAAAATTGTAATGTATATGAATAATTAATGCAGTAGTAAGTAGCTGAATCTGAAATGCG